AGGAAAGCAAACTAATACAAATTAGAATGCAGAGACAATTGGGAAAGAAAGAAAGCTGTTCTGGAAAAAATAAGAACAAATCTGGAGGAGATGAAACAGAAAACTTGTGGTTTGGATAAGTACATTGGGGTGTTTTTATGCAGGGAGAACAGTAGAANTAACAATTCTGGGAGATGAAATCCCATTGTACCAAAAGTTGGCTTTTTGGATGAGTAGTCTTATGGCAACAAAACACAATTTTCTGCCTGCAGCAGAGGCAACGGAAAAGACCGCAGTTGTGACTCTGCCGCACGCTGTCATTTTGGTACCCGAGGAGGAATTTAAGATGCAAGGTATGTTGTCCTTAACTATTGCAGCAAAAGGGTCCATTAGAGTTTCGGGGGCCCTTTGGGAGCCAAGTTATTCGAATACAGGAGAGGGTGGAAGTAGCCCTTTGCTTTGAAAGTCGAGAAGGGGTGAACGAGACACGAATTCCATAGCTGGAGGCTTTTTTAAAAGAAGAGGCTGGACAGCTGTTGGTCCAGAATGGGGTAGGGTATCTCCTTGCCTGTGGCAAGGGGGTTGGACTAGATGACCTCAAAAGGACCCTTCCAGCTCTGTTCCTCTGTTACTCACAGGTCTCTTTGCCGTTCATGTTCTCACCTGTAATCACCTTTTGGTATCCTTTCCGCAGGCCAGCAGAAGTTGAGCATCAAGGTGTGGATCGCTGTTTCTTCGATAACGGTGTTTGGCCTTTTGGCTACCATTGTGGTGGTCCTGGTTTGGTTAGTCCGACGGCGGAAAGGATCTGGCTTGATCAATTAAATAAAAAGATTCCCCTAGTTCCTAAGGTGTGTGGGTGGAATGATTTCACAAATGAGCCATGGTGGCGCAGTGGTCAAGAGTGCAGTGCTGCAGGCTACTTCTGCTGACTGCCGGCTGCCTACAATTTGGCAGTTCAAATCTCACCAGGTTGAAGGGTGACTCGGCCTTACCATCCTTCTGAGGTGGGTAAGATGAGGGCCCAGATTGTTGGGGAGCAATGTGCTGACTCTGCGTGACCCGACAAAACCGTGTCGCTAAAACCACGATGTCATCAATGCGCCGACAACAGCGCGTCGACAGAAGGACAATTTAAGGGCGATTTAAGTTAAGGTAACAGCGCGTCGACAGAAGGGCGATTTAAGGCCGATTTAAGTTAAGATAAGGGTTAGGTTTAGGGTTAGGTTTAGGGTTAGGGTTAGGTTTAGCATTACGTTTAGGGTTAGGGTTAGGTTTAGCATTAAGTTTAGGGTTAGCGTTAGGTTTACAGTGCGCTTCTTTGGCGCGCTGCTGTCGGCGCGATTCAGTGCTCATTCATCGGCGTGGTTTAGAACTCGCGGTTTTATCACCGCAGTTTAGTCGGGCGTGCTTTTGTCGGTCGCCCTTTTGTCGGTGAACCCTGACTCTGTAAACCCCTTAGAGAGGGCTGTAAAGTTTAAGTGGTATTGCTATTGCTAAGCCATGACATAATGGCTTGGTGGCCACTTTTTATGCCGTGTGAGAGAACCCATCCAGTTATGGCTTCCCTAATCAGGGACCGTAAGAAACAACATGGGTAAGATCCAGACCCACCAGGCGTTGAAAATTTGGAGGACTGCGTGCTAGTCTTTTCTTCTTCTTCTGCCTTTTAATTCTCTTGTAACGCTCTTAATTCTCTGAGATAAATTCCTGCTTAACCGTCTCTCTTAAATTGGTTCTTCAAAGGGTTCAGCTTTTCTTCCTCCCTGCGTTTGCCAAAAAGCAACTCTTTGATCCTGGGCCGAAGAGAGATGCTTTTCTGGAGTTTACAATGAGGGATTGGAGTGATCTTAGGCCTCGGGGGAATTTTCCCCGCGCTCTCGCTGCTTTGTGCTTCTGCATAATTTGGTGGATCAGTTGCTTCTCAGCACTCCTATTTTCTCACCCAGCAGGCAAGGAATTTCTTTCTCCGCAGACAATATGATTTTTAAGTGACCTCATCGTAAGGAATGCACCCATTTACTCTTAGGGCCCTGGATCATTGCTTAGAAATGCCTCGTATCTAAAATAGAAAATGATCCCGCATTTTTTGTAGGCATCCATCTTGCTCCTCTCCTCTCTGCTGTCTGGAATGCAGCTCCCGTTGCATTCTTTGCGAGCTAAAACTGACTCGTGTCAGGTGCAAAATCTTGAACTCATCCTCATCTTTCCCAGTTCCCTCTATTCAAGGAACAGCTTTACTGATGTAATATTTGTAGCTCAGGGATGAACTGTAGAATCCTTGGTGCTTGTTGGTTTTCTAGCAGACGTTTCATGACCCAACTAGGTAACATCCTCAGTGCTATGTGTAGGGTTGGTGGAAAAGAGGACGGAGGGGGAGACTGAGGGGGTTCTTGGTGCTCTCTTGAGCTTGGTGCTTTTCTTGCAGACGTTTCATTACCAAACTTGGCAACCCCATCAGTGCTGTGATGTTCCTTAGCTTGGTAATGAAATGTTTGCAAGATAAATCACCAACCTCAGAGAGCACCAAGGGCCACAAAACAGATATACTAGATCAATTTCCAGCAAAATTTGACACTGGGACAAATCTAAACCAATGGAAATTGGATCCAACAATTTTTGGTGATGGTGGTTGTTCAGTGAATCGTGGTCATTAAACAAATCTACCTTCCTGCAATGAAAGGAGGCTAGAAGGAGAGTTAAAATAGGTGTGAACTGGCTGTTTTGCCACCACAGCAATAACAATTTCTCTAAAAGAAAGATTCTCTTTATTCAAGACTGTGGACTAGACGGAGAGTTAAAATAGGTGTGAACTAGCTGTTTTGCCACCACAGCAATTCATTTCTCTAAAAGAAAGATTCTCTTTATTCAAGGCTTTGGACTGTGCAATACAGTTCACAAACACATAAGGTCAAAACTCCAGGCGAAAAACTAAACCAAAACACAAAATAAAGCAATACTGTATTTGCAATTTAATCAGCACAGGCATGTCCATACACAACATTAGATGGAGTTAAACTGAATTGAAGTGAGAATATCAAGCAACATCTCTGATCAATGTTTTTATGGGACTTGTCCCAAAATGATTTGTGCCTCACCACCAATAATATGGGTAAAGGTAAAGGTTCTTCCTCGCACATATGCGCTAGTCATTCCCGGCTCAAGGGGGCAGTGCTCCTCTCCGTTTCAAAGCCGAAGAGCCAGCGCTGTCCGAAGACGTCTCCGTGGTCATGTGGCTGGCATGACTCAATGCTGAAGGCGCACAGAACGCTGTTCCCTTCCCACCAAAGTTGGTTCCTATTTTTCTGCTTGCATTTTGTACATGCTTTCGAACTGCTAGGTTGGCAGAAGCTGGGACAAGTCACGGGAGCTCACTCCGTTATGCGGCGCTAGGGATTCGAACCGCCGAACTGCCGATCTTTCTGATCGACAAGCTCGGCGTCCTAGCCACTGAGCCACCACGCAGGGGTGCGGATATCATTTAAAATGTTTCTTGATTGATCAATTTGGAGTGTTTGGAGAATCTCAATACTTAAAAAATAGCAATAGCAATAGCAATAGCAA